GCTCTGACACCTAAAGAAAACAGAGAACAGGAGACGCTGAAAGTGCGAGGGACAGACGCTCAGAGACACACAGACATACTCATGTAGGAACAGAAGTAGAAACCCAAGGAGAGGCCCTAGTACACTCATAGCCTCGGGGCCGTTTTTTTTCTTTTCCTTTTTCTTTTTTTTTTATTTTGAAACAGAGTCTCGCTCTGTCACGCAGACTTGAGTGCAGTGACTCGATCTCGGCTTATTACAGCCTTAAACTCCCAGGTTCAAGCGATCCTCCAACCTCAGCCTCCTGAGTAGCTGCGACTATGGCACGTTGCCACCACACCCGGCATATATATATATATACACACACACAGACACACACATATAGATATACATATACACATATGTATATATATGTGTGTGTGAATATATATATAATTATTTGTTTTTTGCAGAGATGGAGGTCTCACTATGTTGCCCAGGCTGATCTCGAACTCCTGAGCTCAAGCGTTCCTCCCATCTTGTCCTCCCAAAGCGCTGGGATTACCGACGTGAACCACCGCGTCCCGTGGGGCTGTTTTCTAGCGGGTGGTAGGATAGTCATGGTTAGAAAAATATGTTCGGTTCCGGGAGGCAGAGGTTGCAGTGAGCAGAGATGACGGCACTGCACTTTGGAATCACAGCAGTAGTGAGACTAGGAATTCCCACTCTCATCTGGAGGATCTATGTCGCTTTGAGATATCAGAGCAGCCTTAATTTCCAGCCTAGGGGCAGAGCTTTTTTTATTTTTAATTTTTAAATATTTTTGTAGAAACAGGGGTCTTGCTATGTTGCCCAGGCTGGTTTCCAGCTCCTGGCCTCCCAGGTCCTCCCACCTGGGCCTCCCAAAATGCTGGGATTACAGGTATGAACCACTGCGTTATCCTGTCCCGTACAGAGATTCTGAAGAGGGGTTTCCCGCAACAACATTTATCTTAATTCTGGAGTTTCCAGGGCATGGTCCCTGGAGCTATTTTCAGAGCAGCCTCTGTGTTAATACCTTTACACAGAGAAGGCCTGCTTTTCCTTGAGCCTATCAAATTGCTTCATTAAAATTTTATGTGGCTGGCTGGGCACGGTGGCTCACACCTGTAATCCCAGCACTTTGGGAGGCTGAGGCGGGTGGATCACGAGGTCAGGAGTTCGAGACTAGCCTGACCAACATGATGAAACCCCGTCTCTACTAAAAATACAAAAATTAGCCGGGCGTGGTGGTGTGCACCTGTAATCCCAGCTACTCAGGAGGCTGAGGCAGGAGAATTGCTTGAACCCAGGAGGTGGAGGCTGCAGTGAGCCGAGATCGTGCCACTGCATTCCAGCCTGGTCAACAGAGACAGACTCCATCTCAAAAAAAAAAAAAAATTATGTGGCTGAGCACATGGAGAGGCACTTTGAGCACTTTGGGAGGCCAAGGAGGGTGGATCACTTGAGGTCAAGAGTTTGAGACAGCCTGGCCAACATGGTGAAACCCCATCTCTACTCAAAAAAAAAAAAAAAAAAAAAAAAGTACAAAAAATTAACTAGGAGTGGTGGGGCACGCCTGTAGATCCAAATACTTGGGAAGCTGAGGCATGAGAATCACTTGAACCCAAGAGGCAGAGGTTGCAGTGATCCAAGATTGCGCCTCTGTAACATAGCAAAACCCTGTCTGGGCAACAGAGCAAGAGTGTCTGAAAAAAAAAAAAAAAAAAAGGAAAAGAAGACATCCAGAACCCAGATAGTCTTGAAGCAGGTAGAGAAAACCTCAGAGCTAATAAGGAAAGAGACCACTACTACTCCTGCTGCCCTCCTCCCCTCACCTTGCCTAGTTCACAAGACAGGAGGAAAGAGAGAAAGAAACAAAAGTAAGATAAATAGCCAGACAACCTTGGCACCACCACCTGGCCCTAGGAGTTAAACAAAGTAATAATAATAACATCAACCCCTGGCCTAAACTACTTGTGTTATCTGTAAATTCCAGACACTGTATGAAAAAAAAGCATTGTAAAAATTTGTTCTGTTAGCTGATGCACGTAGGCCCCAGTCTAGTTTCCCACGCTTGCTCAATTTATCACGACCCTTTCACGTGGACCCCTTAAAGCTGTAAGCCTTTTTTTTTTTTTTTTTTTTTTTTTTTGAGACGGAGTCTCGCTCTGTCGCCCAGGCTGGAGTGCAGTGGCGCGATCTCGGCTCACTGCAAGCTCCGCCTCCCGGGTTCACGCCATTCTCCTGCCTCAGCCTCCCGAGTAGCTGGGACTACAGGCGCCTGCCACCTCGCCCCGTCTCTACTAAAAATACAAAAAAAACTTAGCCGAGCTCGGCTCTTAAGACGCGAGTCTGCCGACGCTCCCGGCCAAATAAAAAACCTCTTCCTTCTTTAATCCAGTGTCTGAGGAGTTTGTTTGCGGCTTGTCCTGCTACACTAAGAGAATGTTTCTCATTTATTCCAGGCATGAGGTCTCATGCATGTCTGGCTCAAGCTAGACAAAGCTGAGGACCCAGAGGTGACTCAGTCTGGCTGGTTGGGGAGAGAGGTAGGTACAGCAGGTCTGAGACACAGGGAGGTGTAGGGATTTGGGGAGCTCAGGGGAGGGAGGAGCCAGGGAAAGGAACTCCTTACTGAGAAGGTCCCCTAAATAAGACCTTCTCACCCCTGGCACCCTTTCCTGTTGTTTTTGCAGAATTTCTAGACCATTTATCTGTCCTTTGAAGACACACCCTAGATGGGGTTTATAGGCTCAGCTGTGAGATGTTCTAAGAATTAGACTTGGCTTCACCCTTCTCAGCTGTAGGACCTTGGGCACAAAACGTACCTTCTTCTGGGTTCCAATTTTCTTATCTGCAAAATGAGGTTGAAAACAGTTCAACAGCCTGCCATAGTACAGGTGCTCAATGGGAACTGCCCATCATTATTTTGTCACTATCCTTGACTTCCTACCTTTGCCACCTCCACCCACTTCCAGGCCCTGCTGAGTTAACCTGGTTTTCTTTTGTTTGTTTGTTTTTGAGATGGAGTCTTGCTCTGTTGCCCAGGCCAGAGTGCGGTGGTGCAATCTCAGCTCACTGCAACCTCTGCCTCCTGGGTTCGAGAGACTCTCCTGCCCCAGCCTCCCAAGTAGCTGGGATTACAGGTGCACGCCACCACACCCAGCTAATTTTTGTATTTTTAGTAGAGATGGGGTTTCGCCATGTTGGCCAGGCTGGTCTGGAACTCCTGACCCCAAGTAATCCACCCACCTCAGCCTACCAAAGTGCTGGGATTACAGAGGTGAGCCACCGTGCCCAGCCAGATTTAACCTATCTTAACCTGGCCACTTTTCCATCAGCACACCCTCTGCCCCATTCAATGGGCAGCAAAGCATAAACGCAAATTGCCCGGACTGCAGGGCCAGGCTGAGGGATTCAAATCCTAGCTCTGCTACTTCCTGGCTGGGATGACCTTCCCCTCCAAACCTCATTTTCCTCCTCTGTACAAGGATGATAGTAGCGTCTCCTCTTAAAACATTGCTATGGGGATTAAATAAGTTAACCACATAAGGACAGCTTCCAGTGTATAATAAGTGCTAGCAATTAATACTGTAATTAATATATAACAATACCCTCACTGGTCTTCTGGCTTCTACTCTGCCTCCTTAAAATCATGGTTCTTGAAAATAGCTGTGGCCCTAGAGGCTGGGCACGGTGGCTCACACCTGTAATCCCAGCACTGTGGGAGGCCGAAGTGGGCGGATCACCTGAGGTCAGGAGTTTGAGACCAGATTGGCCTATGTGGTGAAACCCCATCTTTACTAAAAATACAAAAAAAATTAGCCGGGCATGGTGGTGGGTGCCTGTAATCCCAGCTACTCAGGAGGCTGAAGCAGGAGAATTACTTGAATCTGGGAGGTGGAGGTTGCAGTGAGCCGAGATCTTGCCACTGCACGCCAGCCTGGGCGACAGAGCGAGACTCCATCCAAAAAAAAAAAAAAGGCAGGCGCAGTGGCTCACGCCTCTAATCCCAGCACTTTGGGAGGCCGAGACAGGTGGGTCACGAGGTCAGGAGATCGAGACCAGCCTGGCCAACATGGTGAAACCCTGTCTCTACTAAAAATACAAACATTAGCTGGGTGTTGTGGTGAGCACCTGTAATCCCAGCTACTTCTGAGGCTGAGGCAGGAGAATCGCTTGAACCCAGGAGGCAGAGGTTGCAGTGAGCCAAGAATGCGCCACTGCACTCCAGCCTGGGGGACAGAGTGAGACTCCATCTCAAAAAAAAAAAAAAAGAACGAAGAGTCACTTCAAACTAATATAATGTGTGGAGCTCATTTAGATCTTGAGTCAAGCAAATCAAGTGTAATAAAAAGATATTTATGAGATATGATGTTTGACATTTAGCTTCAGAATCATTTGGGAAGAGTGGATGGGGGTAAATGAAACACTAGTCATGAGTGAATAATTATTTTAAAAAAATTTTTTTAAAGATATGGGGTATTGCTCTGTTGCACAGGCTGGAGTGCAGTAACACAATCATAGCTTATTGCAGACTTGAACTCCTGGGTCAGTCCCACTCCCTATCCCAGTGAAATAGCTAGGACTACAGGCTGCCACTAAGCCAGGCTTTTTTTTGGTTGTTTTTTGTTTTTGTTTGTTTTGTTTTTTTAAAGATGGGAAGGTGTCTCGCTATGTTGCCCAGGCTAGGATTTTTGTTTGGGTTTTTGGTTTTTTTGTTTGTTTGTTTGTTTGTTTTTGAGACAGAGTCTCACTCTGTTGCCCAGGCTGGAGTGCAGTGGCTTGATCTTGGCTCACTGCAACCTCTGCCTCCCAGGTTCAAGCCATTCTCCTACCTCAGCCTCCAGAGTAGCTGAGATTACAAGCGTGTGCCACCACGCCCGACTAATTTTTGTATTTTTAGTAGAGACGGGGTTTCACCATGTTGGCCAGGCTAGTCTTGAACTCCTGACCTCAAGTGATCCGTCCACCTCCACCTCCCAAAGTGTTGGGATTACAGGAGTGAGCCACCGCGCCTGGTCCCAGTCTAGTTTAGAACTCCTGGGCTCAAGTGATTCGCCTACCTCTGCCTCCCCGAGTGCTGGGATTACAGGCACGAGATAGGGAGCCCGGCCTAGGCACTTTCTATTCTAAACACTTTCCATTGATTATCGTATTTAATCCTAACAACGCTCCATTTTATAGATGAGGAAACAGGCCTAGAAAGAGAGCTAGAAAGGGTCACACAGCTAGAAACTGGCACAGCCGGATTCCAAACCAGTTACCCAGGCAATGTGGCTCCAGTCCAAATAACCCCGCCAAACTCCCAGGGATCGCAGACCTTGCGGGTTATCGGACTGGAGACCCACCCGTGCAGAGGACTTTTATGGGCATTTCCTGGTCCTTCCTGCACCAGGCAGGAAGGTGTACCGCCACTGCTCGGGAAGAATGCCGAGCTACATGCCACCCCAGGCCTAGCACCACGAGCATGGGCCAGGGCACCTCGGGACCACCCAGGCTTCCGAGGGGGAAGGTAGATGGGGACGTGGCTGAGAATCTTGAATCACCCAAGAGCGAGGTGTGCTGAGGCGCTATGCAAATAACGTGCCTTTTATTGGGCACTGGCTGTCTCTGAACCCGGAGTCCCGCCTCCGCCCTCTCTCGAAGAAATGGTCAGACTTTTTGCAAACGCCTTGAAGGGTGGAATTAGCAGCGAGCTCTTGAAACTGCCTCTGGAGATGGAACCCAGCGGAATTCTCGAAAAGAAGAAGGACATTAAAAAGAGGGGTGCATGTATTGATTTCCAAGCGCAGTTTGTCCATGTTAGTCTTGCACGTGCTTGACTCCAGTCAGCCACCGTAGGCCCCGCCACCGGCGGTGCACTTTCCGTCGATCCGGTAGCTTCGCGCTTGCTCACGAACTTGCCTGCCTAGCTGGCGCACCCAGCCCCTCCTTCCATTCCGTCTCCCCCTGCGCAGCCTCTGCCAGCCGGCACTGCGCATGCTTTCTGACGCCCACTTTGGTCCAGCGTGGGAGGAGGGGATGGAAATGAGGTTGGGCCGAGCAGCTCGCGCGCGCTCCCTTCCCTGCCCTCCCCCGACGCCGGACGCGCGCCGGGCGGTGCAGCTTCGCTGGTCCGAGGGCAGTGCAGCAGCAGCAGCAGCAGCAGCGGCTGCGGCCGTGGCCGCGGCGGGAGGAGCCCGAAGCTCCGCCCCCGGGGAGGGGCCGTCCTGCAGGTGAGGGGGCAGGGGTTCGGGCGCGGATACTGGCTTGCAGGCTGAATGCCAGAATCACCCCGAGGGAGAACGGTTGTGGTTCGGACGCCTAGATTCTGGAGGGGCTGTGCATTGGTGCCTGAGCCTCGGGAGGGTGCATCGATGCTTGAATGTCTGATTCGGAAGGGTGCATTGACTCCTTTACGCTTGGGACTCTGAGGGAGAAGTCAATTAGGGGTCTCTGGACCGCGACACATGCCAGGTTCCTTACGTATCTTCCTCCAGGTCCCCCCTCTATCCTCCACGGCCCCATCCAAGCCAGGGATGAAATTTAACAGCAAGAAGGACGCAGTTGACGCGGCGTCAATGAACTAAGTCAAAAGCCGGGTAAAGCTAGGTCTTCGACGTGAAGCCTCGCCCACTGTGCTCATAGGCCCCTCCCCTGGGACGGTGATGAAAGACCTGCCCACTCCGCTCGAAGGCCCCCGCCTCCTGGGTCTAGTTTCAGAACAACAGACTTTGGTCCTATTTGTACAGCTCCGCCCATTCCAGGACTGCAGGGTCTGGTGGGGAAGGTCCCGCCCACTCTGCGCACAGGCCCCGCCCGCTCCGCGCTCAGGGCGGTCGCTGAGTTAGTTGTGGAGACCCCGCCCACTCTGCTCAAACACTTCAACCCTGGGTTTAGACAGCGAAGGGACTGCCTCTGGCTTGAATTTGCATAGCCCCGCTCACTGTGCTCTTAGGCTCCGCCCAACCGCTAAGCCTGCCCTCGCCTTAGCACCCCATACTTACAGACCTTGCTCCTAAACAGTCTGATCCCTCATTTTAGGCCCTCCAACCCTATCCCCATCAGGCTGGTAATCACCGCCGTCACCCCCAACCCCGCGCCCTGCCCCTAGGTTCCTGTGCCAGCAAGATGCTGGAGCGAGGCGCGGAGTCCGCGGCCGGGGCCACAGATCCTAGTCCCACTGGCAAGGAACCGGTAACCAAAGAAGGTGAGAGTGGCCCCGCCTGTGAGTAGGGAGCATTCTCCAGGAATAGGAGCCAAGATAATCACATTCTGGGGGAATCTCAGGGTGAAAGTTTGAGGGCCCCAGGGTGATGACTATCTGGGATCCCCAAAAATGGCCACGTTCTGGGAAATCCTCCCATTTGGCTCAGAGAGAGCCTCAGTAAGCATTTGCTAGGGCTCAGGAAATTACAGAAGGGACGGGGCAGGGATGACATGCGGGATGTCAGGGTGATCACTGGGAAGACACTAGAAACGGATACATTGGTAGCTTTGAGGAAGCCTTAGGAGCTTTGGGATCCAGGAAAGTAACCCTTTGGAGTCCCTCAGAATGACGCCTGGGGGGAGGGGGAGCAGAAACATGCAATTTGGGGAGTCTCAATATGATGCTTGAGGTGCCCAGGTACACTTGGAGGAGCCCCTCGAATATCAAAGTCGTGGCGGAGCCTGGCCTAGGCCCAGGGCGTTGGCTGCTTCCTGGCGCCCACCAGCCCTCCTGTCCCCCAGCTCCCCACCAGGGCCCACTGCAGAAGCCCAGCCAGTCAGCTCCAGGGCCCACCGCGTCCGCGAGCGCGCCTCCCAGGCCTCGCCGGCGGCCCCCGCCCCAGCGCCCGCACCGCTGTCCCGACTGTGACAAGGCCTTCTCGTACCCGTCCAAGCTGGCCACGCACCGCTTAGCACACGGCGGCGCCCGACCCCACCCATGCCCAGACTGCCCCAAGGCCTTCTCCTACCCCTCCAAGCTGGCAGCCCACCGCCTCACGCACAGCGGCGCCCGCCCGCACCCGTGCCCACACTGCCCGAAGGCCTTTGGCCACCGCTCCAAGCTGGCGGCTCACCTCTGGACCCACGCACCCACCCGCCCCTACCCGTGCCCCGACTGCCCCAAGTCCTTCTGCTACCCTTCCAAGCTGGCGGCCCACCGCCACACGCACCACGCCACCGATGCCCGCCCCTACCCTTGCCCGCATTGCCCCAAGGCTTTCTCATTTCCCTCCAAGCTGGCTGCCCATCGCCTATGTCACGACCCCCCAACCGCACCCGGCAGCCAGGCGACGGCCCGGCACCGATGCTCCAGCTGCGGCCAGGCCTTTGGCCAGAGACGCTTACTGCTCCTTCATCAACGCAGCCACCACCAGGTGGAGCACAAAGGGGAGAGAGACTGAGCCCTCCCTTGGCTCACTGTCCCCCTCTGCCGCCAGCCCTCGCCAGTAAGAGGTGGGATTTCTAAAACCGACCGTATGAGCTCCCTCTTCCAGATAGCTGGCAGAGGGCAAGGCAAGGGATTGGCCATTTATACTGGGCTTGAACTCAGAAGCCCGAGGAACTCTTTGCTCCCCTGCTTTGGGGAGATCTCAAACCATGGACATGGAGCTGTGCTTTGACAGCCCTGGCTCTGCTTCTCCCCACATACTTACATGGCAAAGGTAAAAAGTCTGCTACTATGGTGGGTTGATGAGGATTGTGGGCAAACAGGCTCCCTTGTTGTTAAAAGTTTAAATTGGTGTCTCCACTTTGGCCATATGACTGTATCTAAGAAACTGAAAATATATGCTTGTCTCAACTCTTCCACTTGTGGAAATTTATTCTATAAACTCATGTATGTGAAAAAAGCATTGTGTATAAGGGTGTTCACCGCAGTGCGACTGTTGTGGCCAAAGACTGGAAGCAACTCAAGTGCCCAAGAACAGAGGACCGACTATTGAATTATAGCCATGGAATGGAATAGGTAGCCGTAGGAAAAAAAAAAAGTGCTGTATGTACAGATGTGGAAAGATCTCCAAGATACACTTGGTGATAAAAGGGTATACCATTGACCATTTAAAGACATTCAAGGCTGGGCACGGTGGCTCAAGCCTGTAATCCCAGCACTTTGGGAGGCCAAGACGGGCGGATCACGAGGTCAGGAGATCGAGACCATCCTGGCTAACACGGTGAAACCCCGTCTCTACTAAAAAAATACAAAAAAAAAAAAAACAAGCCAGGCGAGGTGGTGGGCGCCTGTAGTCCCAGCTACTCGGGAGGCTGAGGCAGGAGAATGGTGTGAACCCGGGAAGCGGAGCTTGCAGTGAGCTGAGATCCGGGCCACTGCACTGCAGCCTGGGCGACAGAGCGAGACTCCGTCTCGAAAAAAAAAAAAAAAAAAAAGACATTCAAAAGCCCAAGCTTCAGGTTGGGTGTGGTGGCTCACGCCTATAATCCCAGCACTTTGAGAGGCCAAGGCGGAAGGATAGCTTGAGCCAGAAGTACAAGAGCAGTCTGGACAACATAGCAAGACCCCATCTCTACCAAAAAAAACAAAAGCTGGGTGTGGTGGCATGTACCTGTAGTCCCAGCTACTTGGGAAGCTGAGGTGGGTGGATCACTTGAGCTGGCAGGTCAAGGCTGCCGTGAGCTGTGATCGTGCGACTGCCTTCCAGTCTGGATGACACAGCAAGACCCATCTCAAAAAGAAAAAGGAAAAAAATCCCAAGGTTCAGAGCCATCCCTGACCCACTTCTTACAAGTTGCCAGGCCTTGGACAAGCTTTCTCACTCCTCCGGACTCAGATGCCTTTGCTGTAAAATGGGTGGGTTATAAGGCATTTGTAAGGGGCAAGCAACACCTCAGGCAAAGTCAGTTCCCCTCTTAGAGCCTGTTTCTCCCATTGTAAAATAAAGATGAGCAAGCTAGCATGGGACTACTCTTCATTCCACAAATATTAAGCACCTCCTGTGTGCTGGGCCCTGCATGGGGTGCTGGGGACACAGCAATGAAGACAGACCTTGTCTAGTGAGGAAAGTGGACACTAATTTTAAAAAGCAGCAGCAGCAGGCCACGCAGAGTGGCTCAGACCTGTAATCCCAGCACTTTGGAAGGCCAAGGCAGGTGGATCACTTGAAGTCAGGAGTTTGAAACCAGCTTGGCCAGCATGATGAAACTCCGTCTCTACTAAAAATATAAAAACTAGCTGGGTATGGTGGCGTGCACCTGTAATCCCAGCTACTTGGGGAGGCTGAGGTACAAGAATCGCTTGAACCCGGGAGGCAGAGGTTGCAGTGAGCCAAGGTTGCACCACTGCACTCCAGCCTGGGCGACAGACCCTGCCTCAAAAAAAAAAAAAAAACAAAACCAGCAGCAGCCAAGTCATTCATTCATCTATGTATGTATGTATATAGAGATAGGATCTATGTTGCCCAGGCTAGTCTGAACTTCTGGACTCAAGCAGTCCTCCCACTTTGGCCTCCCAAAGTGCTAGGATTACATGTGTGAGCCACCATGCCTGGCCCCAAGTCCATTTAGAAGAACAAGTAGGAGAGCCTTGGCTCCCCACCCCCTCAACCCAGATACAAAAATTATTACAAAGCTGTGCAGTAGTGAAATTGGTGGTGTTGGCTTGAAAACAGGTCAGTGGAAGACAACTGAGAGCTCAGAAACAGACCTGTGCTTATGCTGACATATGACAAACTGGACCTGTAGATCTGGGAGTGGCAACCTTTTCTATAAAGGGCCAAACAGTACAGACGGTACCTGACTTACAATGGTTTGAATCAGGACTTTCCAACTTTATGATGGGTTCATCTGGATGTAGCACCATTGTAAGTCAAGGAGCATCTCTTTTTTTTTTTTTTTTTTTTTTTTTTTTTTGAGACAGGGTCTTGCTCTGTTGCCCAGGCTGGAGTGCAGTGGCACGATCACAGCTCATTGCCCTGAACTCCTGGGCACAAGTGATCCTCCTACCTCAGCCTCAGAAGTAGCTGGGACTACAGGCACACACCACCACACCTGGCTTATTTATTTTTATTTTTGAGACAGTCTTGCTCTGTTGCCCAGGCTGGAGTGCAGTGGCATGATCACCACTCATTGCAACCTCTGCCTCCCGGGCTCAAGCAATTCTCCTACCTCAGCCTCCTGAGAAGCTGGGATTTCAGGTGTGCGCCACCATGCCCAGTTAATTTTTGTATTTCTAGTAGAGATGGGGTTTCGCCATGTTGGCCAGGCTGGTCTCGAACTCCTGACCTCAAGTGGTCCGCCTGCCTTGGCCTCCCAAAGTGCTGGGATTACAGACGTGAGCCACTGCACCCAGGCCCCAGCTAAATTTATTTTTTATTTTTTTGTAGAGATGGGGGTCTCACTATGTTGCCCAGGCTGACCTCAATCTCCTAGCCTCAAGTGATCCTCCTGTCTTGGCCTCCCAATGTCCTGGGATTCCAGGCGTGAGCCACTGAGCCCAGCTGCATCTGTTACATTTTTAAGTTCTGCAGGCCACACAGTGTCTTCCACAACTATTCCACTCTGCCACTGTAGCAGGAAAGCAGCCACACACATTACAATACATAAATGAATGAGCATGGCTGTGTTCCAATAAACATTTACCAAAATTCTAAGTAGGCTGGATTTTGCCTATGGGCTGTAGTTTGTTGTGACCTGACATGGATGAGTGGAGGATGGACAGACTAATCAGTAAATAAGGCTAAGAGACATGGGGAAAAATTAAGTTGAATCCCCTGTTGTATAGAAGAATGATCCCCCAAAGATATCCACATTTGAATCCCCAGAACCTGTATGTTAGCTGGCATGTAGCAAAAGGGACACTGCAGATGTGATTGAGATGGGTAAGTTATCCTGATTATTCAGATAGGCCCAATATAATCACAAGGGTCCTTATATGGGAAAGAGGGAAGCAGGAGACAGAGAGAGGTGATCATAAAAGCAAATATTTGAGTGATGGAAGACCGCAAGTCAAGGAATTTTGCCTACAAAAGGCAAGGAAATAAATTCCTCCTTAGAGCCTCCAGAAGGATTGCAACCCTGCTGACACTTGATTTTAGGCCAGTGAAGCTGATTTTGGACCACTGACCTCCAGAACTATAATAAAATTAACTTGTGTAGTCTAACGCCACTAAGCTTATGGCAATTTGTTATAGCAACAATGGGAAACTACTGCAGATCCCTACCTCACACCATATGCAAAAATACGTTTCTGGGAGTTTAAGATCTAAATTTGAAGAGAAAAACTCAAAAACATTTACATGGAAATAAGAATTATCTTAGTAACTCCAGAAGTAGAGACAATATCCTTAAGAGACAAAAGAGTATAAATCATAGATGAAAAGATGGGTAGGCCAGGCGCGGTGGCTCTCACGCCTGTAATCCCCCAGCACTTTGGGAGGCCGAGATGGGCAGATCACAAGGTCAGGAGATCGAGACCATCCTGGCTAACACAGTGAAACCCTGTCTCTACTAAAAAAATACAAAAAAAAAAAATTAGCCGGGCATGGTGGCGGGCGCCTGTAGTCCCAGCTACTTGGGAGGCTGAGGCAGGAGAATGGCATGAACCCGAGGTGGAGCTTGCAGTGAGCTGAGATTGCACCACTGAACACCAGCCTGGGCGACAAAGCAAGACTCCGTCTCAAAAAAAAAAAAAGAAAAGAAAAAAAGTAAAAAGAAAAGATAGGTAAATGTGACCATAAATGAATGTAAAGTTATGACTAGGATGGATGAGATGTAGTATTTTAAGAGTGTGTACCTGGCATATCCTATTATACAGTGGAGGTTAGGAAAGGCCTTGTTGAGGATGTAATGTTTGAGCTGAGATCTGAAAGTTGTGGAGGAAGGAGAAAGTAGAAAGTGTCCATAGACTAGATAAAGAACATGTGGTACATATACACCAGGTAATACTATGCAGTCATAAAATGGAATGAGATCACATCCTTTGCAGGGACATGGAAGGAGCTGGAAGCCATTATCCTTAGCAAACTAACGCAGGAACAGAAAACCAAATACTGCATGTTCTCACTTATAAGTGGGAGCGGAATGATGAGAACACATGGACACAGCTGGGCATGGTGCCTCACGCCTCTAATCCCAGCACTTTGGGAGGTGGAGGCGGGCAGATCACCTGAGGTCAGGAGTTCAAAACCAGCCTGGCCAACATGGCAAAACCCCCTCTCTACTAAAAATACGAAAATTAGCCGGGCATGGTGGCAAACGCCTGTAATCCCAGCTACTCGGGAGGCTGAGGCATGAGAATCCCTCGAACCCAAGAGGCAGATGTTGCAGTGAGCCAAGATCATGCCACTGTACTCCAGCCTAGGTGACAGAGTGAGACTCCATCTCACAAAAAAAAAAGAACACATGGGGGGAACAACACACACTGGGGCCTGTCAGGGGGTGGGGGTGAGGGGCTAGGAAGAGCATCAGGAGGTATAGCTAATGGATGCTGGGCTTAATACCCAGGTGATGGGATGATCTGTGCAGCAAACCACCACGGCATACATTTACCTATGAAACAAAACTGCACATCCTGCACATGTACCTCTGAACTTAAAAGTACGAGAGCCGGGCACGGTGGCTCACGCCTGTAATCCCAGCACTTTGGGAGGCCGAGGCAGGTGGATCACCTGAGGTCGGGAGTTCAAGACCAGCCTGATCAACATGGAGAAACCCCATCTCTACTAAAAATACAAAATTAGCCGGGGTGGTGGCGCATGACTGTAATCCCAGCTACTTGGGAGGCTGAGGCAGGAGAATTGCTTGAACCTGGGAGCTGGAGGTTGTGGTGAGCCAAGATTGCACCACTGCACTCCA